CAGTTTTGTCTCTCTCCTCCTCCTCTTCATTAGGAAACTCAGTGAATGTCACAGTAACACTGAGGGACACTTCCAGTGACTTTACTGGGAACTTCTGTCCAATATTCCACACTAGACTCTTATTATCAGGACCAATGCACAGACTAACTGATGTTGGTGATATGTTATCAATCTTCTCAATAGTTCCTCTACAATAAACAAAATTTTAATAGTACAGTTATATATTTATTGGTTAACCTGTTAAAAAAAGGAATCACTACTTCACAGTACTCAAAGTTGTTCCTAATTGTTTCGTGTAGCTTCAATTGAACGAGTAGCTCAATAGTTCTATCACCCTAAAAATAATAATAAAATAACAATAAAGAGAGAATCAAATGTGTCAGGACAATATATTTAGAGTAAAGAAACTGCAACCAGTTTCAAACTGGCTCATTTTTAATGACAAAATAGCTCGAGAAAGTTTATGTGCCTCTAATCATCAATTGATATGCTTAACTCAATCTTGACCATACTATGATATTACTATATTCATGTACCTATTTCAATACTTTATATGATCAATATATCTTATTATAGACTTATTCTGATTCATGTACATGTACATACCTTCATTTGATAGAATCCTCTTATTGGTATCAAAGCTGGTGACTGTTGATAATGACACAATGTGAATGTCTCCAGAGGAGCTGAGAACCTAACACTCCTTGAATAATGAGGAGTGTCAGTGTGTCTATTAGTAGTATCAGCTAGTACTGGCTCAGCATCAGATGACTGTACACAAGAATGAACAGTTAAGTGATCAAGATGGGAGGAGTCAGGAGGCGTGGTCAAGTTTAAAACTATGTCAGGGTGACCCTCAAGTTCTGCCTATTATATGAAATAAATGTTTATTAGTTTGTGTATTTCAATCAATAATTATACAAAATTTTCAATTACTGTACAGTGGGAAATTTTGGAGGGAATTAAATTTAGCAAATTTGGCATTTTGATAACCATTTACTAAATAAAAGCTGCCATTTTGAGCTATTATATGCATGTTCAATGGCACATGGCCACTAATTTGCCAAATTAAAATTAGCCACTCTCCAAAATTTAGCAATTCACCTGCAAATTTAACTCTCTCCAATATTTCCCACTATAGGGTGTGACAGTGTACATGCTGTTAAAAATGGCAAAATTTATTGCACTAACTAAAATATCTCATTCTACCATAATATCCTTATAGTTTCATTAAAAATTCTAATTAATAATAACTCGTTATGTACCTTGCATAATACTGATCCATACAATTGACATATGTCTTCAATATCTTCCTTATCATACTATTACTATGTAAATTAAAAGTCACAGCAACCCACTCACCTGGACAGCCCTAACTTCTTCTTTTATTCTAACATTAAGTTTTGAACTTCCTTTATACACAGCTGGCCTCCATGAAGGAATCTAATAAGGCAATTAACAAAATCGGGTTTTATGAAACACGGCTCAAAGCATTAAGTACAATAAGATTAAAGTAATCAAAGCACATAATAATAGTCTGATAGTAACTCTATACCACTTTATATTGGTGATACTTTATTGTCATGATTTTACCATAAACGGTTTAACTGTTCTAAGGTTAAGTCCCATAGGAACGCTAAGAGTTGGTCTTCAATAATAAACACACCAGCAGTATCACATTTTAATGGAGTCCTTTACCTTTCCCAATCAAACATTGAGTCCCCCCAGCAGTATATCCACAATGATATACTACTACACATACACTGTACCTTTTCCTTTGGCATAGCCACCCCTTTCCTAAACTGGATCTGGAATTTCAAGTTAGAAGGATTAGTTTCATTAGGTGTACCAAAAGGAGCAGCCAGACAGAGGTATTGATATAGTTCAGCTAACTGTGGTGAACTGGTCTCAAGTTTAACAGCTGAACTAAGTACCTCCATCATTCCCTCCAATAATGACACAGCAGCTGCAACACTGGGTCTATAATAGTATTGTTTTAAAAAATAAATATTATCCCTAATACGTATATTGTCTAATACATGTACATGCACAAGTACTACAAAGTTTCTCATAGGACTTTGGCATAATATAATGCTTATGCAGCTTCTCGTCAGTGGTCACTGTCAAAGTAAAAAACAAGGCTAAAGACCCTGTACTATAGTAAATAAAATAGTCATTAGCCAAATTTTATCAAAAATAAAATGGAGAGAACTCTCTATTTTATAATTTTTTTTGATACATATACGTGGATGCACTTATGTTGTGTAGAAAGTTTGAGCAGATACCAATTAAAAGTAGATTTTCTATGAATTTTTAAAGCTGCTCCAAAATTCGGTCAAAGTCCCTGTACTTGTAGTACAGGGTCTTTGGCCAAAATTTGCTAAAATTGAAAAGGAGAAAATTCTCTGCTTTTATAACTTTTTCTGATACATATACATGTACTTATGTTGTGTAGAGAGTTTGAGCAGATTCTGGTTAAAAGTAGATTTTCTATGAATTTTTAAAGTTGCTCCAAAATTCAGTCAAAGTCCCTGTACTGTAGTACAGGGTCTTTGGCCAAAATTTGCTAAAATTGAAAAGGAGAAAATTCTCTGCTTTTATAACTTTTTCTGATACATATACATGTACTTATGTTGTGTAGAGAGTTTGAGCAGATTCTGGTTAAAAGTAGATTTTCTATGAATTTTTAAAGTTGCTCCAAAATTCAGTCAAAGTCCCTGTACTGTAGTACAGGGTCTTTGGCCAAAATTTGCCAAAATTGAAAAGGAGAAAATTCTCTGCTTTTATAACTTTTTCTGATACATATACATGTACTTATGTTGTGTAGAAAGTTTGAGCAGATTCTGGTTAAAAGTAGATTTTCT